CCTTCCTTCCTTCCTTTGAGACAGGGTCTCACTATGTAGCCCTGGCTGGCCTGGAATTCACTATTTAGACCAATCTGGCCTTGTCCCCCTCTGCTTCCCAAGTGTTGGGACTAGAGGCATGAGCCACCACACCAGGTCCATCCTCCTGCCTCCACTCTCCAGTGTCAGGATCACAGGCATGCACCATCACAATTGACACCACATATTTGATTTCCTAATGTACTGGGGGTTGAACCCATGGCCCTATGCATGCGGGGCAAGTGTTCTTCCACAGAGCTATGAACTCTTTCCCTCACTGATTTAAAGCGTCTGAAGGTTGAATTCAGCTGAGGGACACCAGTTTACCAGCCTTGGGTAAATTCCTGCTTGTTTTGGTGGTGGAGATCATCCATCCCACCCCTCAAATATGTACTCTATCACCCTGTTCAACCCCGGCTCATATCATCCCTGGCTTTTCAGCTCTGACCTAACAAGCAGAAGCCTTGGAATCTGGAAGAGTATTCCCCCAGAGCAACGTGCCAGATTCTGAACTTTATCTAAAACAGCAAAGGCGATGCCTGTCTGACAGGACCTGTCCTTAGTGAGCCCTGAATCCTAGTCCTGCTCCCAGACTGAAGATCTTGGAAACTGCCTGTTCTGTCTTTGAAACTAGTCAATATTTGTCCATTTCCATCAGGTGGGGCCAGGAATTTCAAAATTCCTCCACAAGGCCAAACACCAATGGGACCTTGGAACTTAACCAACACAGGCATTGCTGACTTCAGCTATTTCCACCCTTAAAAACAGCCTTACCTCCCTCTACTCTTCTCCCACCCTGGTTTTGCTCAGACTTTTGAGACAGGGACTTTCTTATAGCTCAGGCTGGCTGGGAACTCACTTATGTGGCCCAGGCTGGTCTACCTCTGACTCTTGTGTACTGGGGATGTGGGTGTCAACAACCAGACTCACCTCCTCATTCTCAGCTTTTCCTGAACTTCGGATCAGGCTGCGGCCCTGCTCTCTGCCTCTTCGCTCCTCCCCGAGCACACAGAGTCCCACTTTGGGAGTGTGGGCCTTAGGAGACACACCCGAGCCTGTCTGGGCCTTAGGAGACACAGCTGAGCATACAGAGTCCCACTCCAGTGTGTGGGCCTTAGGAAAATCTCCTATACTCTCTGCTTGCAGCATTCTCAGCAGAAAAATGAGGGCATTGAACTGGATGGTACCTTCCAAAACAAGGCTTTTGGGTAGAGCACCCCTTTGGTAATTGTTGGAAACCATAGACCCTGATTCTAGAAAAACTGTGATTCTATGGCTACCTCGTTTTGTTTCCCAGCATCCTCCTTAAAACAAAATAAAACCAAACAAAAACCAAACACACACAAAACTTTTTTTATTTTATGTGCATGAGTTTTTGCCTGCATGTATGTGTGTGTACAACATATGTGCCTGGTGTCCTCAGAGGCCAGAAGAGGGCATTGGATTCGCTGAAACTGGAGTTACTGATGGTTATGAGGTGCCACGTGGGTTCTTGGGAACCAAACCTGGGTCCTCTGCCAGGGCAGCAAGTGATCTTAACTGCACCCTAACTGACCTGACTGGGAATGGGGTGGTGGGGGTGGGGAGTGGGGTTTAAGGGGCATTTTAAGTCCACATCACTTCTGTTTGGTTTTCAATGAAATTGGGAAGGTGTCTCTTCCTATTGGGCAGGGCCCAAAATTGCAGCCCAGACCTGCCTGTGGCCATATTTTCTATTGTACAGAGAAAGCCCTCTGTGTAGCTGAGAAGGAAGGCCACAGAGAGAGGAAAAGGACAGCCAGGGCAGAGGCTCAGGAAGAGATGCACTTCCTGGCATTGTGATCCCGAGTCCTGGCCACAGGTGTCTCTGAAGCAGTCTCAAGTTCAGTCAAATCTGTCCTTTCTATTGTCTACCCTATGGACCAATGAATAATTTGGGGGAGGGGCCAGTGTGGCTCCAGGGATTGAACCCAGGACTCTAGACATGCTAGGTAAGTGCTGTACCACTGAGCTACGTACCAACAACCTTTCTCTTTATTTGTTTCTTTTGAGACAAGCTCTCACTAAGTTGCCCATTCTGGCTTTGAACTCACTGTGTAGCCGGGCCCTGCCTTAGCCTCTCAAGGGACTGAGACTGAGACTGGGACTGGGATTACCACCAGGAGGGCCTACATTCCTTCCTTCTTGGGTTGTTTGTTGAAGTGAACTTTAGTTCTGATACAGCAGAGTGATTCTCATCCTGATGAGCCCCAAGATGAGAGGCACAATCTTAAACACTGGATTGAGGTGTGTGTGTGTGTGTGTGTTGTATGTCTGCAAGTGGATATGCATACTTGAGTGTGTACATGCATACATACAAGTCAGAGGTTGACATTGTGTGTTCTCTATTTCTCTCCACACGATGATGATGATGATGATGATGATGATGATGATGAGAGTTGGGAGTATCTTTCAAAGAATGTGGAGCTCACTGATGAGTTATGCTGGCTGACCAATGAGCCCTGGAGATCCACTCTCTAACGCTAGGGTTACAGATACTGAACTATGAAACCCAGTTTTTACATGGGTTCTGGGGATCAGAACTCGGGTCCTCAGCCTGCTGTGTGGTGGTGTGAGTGAGAATGGCCACATGTTTACCAGGGAGTGAGATTGTGTGAAAGGATTAGGAGGTCTGGCCGTGTTGGAAGAGCAGGTTTCAAAAGCCCATGCCACGCCCAGGCCCTTTCTTTCTGCCTATGATCAGGATGTAGCTCTCAACTAACTACCTCTCTAGCTCCATGCCTGCCTGCTGCCATGCTCCCACCATGACCATAATGGACTAAACTGCTGAATCTGTAATCAATCCCCCAGTTGAGTGCTTTCTTTCATAAGAGACGGTTTGTTCATGATGTCTCTTCACAGCAATTAATAAGTAACTGAAACATTGTGTTGGCTGAATTTATGTCAACTTGACCCAGCTAAAATTATCTGTGAGGAGGGAGCCTCAATTAAGAAAATGTCTCCATAAGATCAGCTTGTAGGCAAGCCTGGAGGGTATTTTCTTAATTAGTGATTGATGGGGGAGAGCCCAGCATGTGAGTGGGGCCATCCCTGGGCCGGTGGCTGAAGACTGAGCAAGTTATAAGGAGAAAGCCAGTAAGTAGCACCCGGTAGTGGCGTCTGCACCAGCTCCTGCCTCCAGCCCTGTTTGAGTTCCTGTCCTGACTTCCTCCTTCAGTGAAGAGCAGAGGTGTGGAGGTGTGAGCCGAATGAACACACCCTTTCCTGTCCTGACTTCTTCAGTGAAGAGCAGAGGTGTGGAAGTGTGAGCCGAATGAACACACCCTTTCCTGTCCTGACTTCTTCAGTGAAGAGCAGAGGTGTGGAAGTGTGAGCCGAATGAACACACCCTTTCCTGTCCTGACTTCTTCAGTGAAGAGCAGAGGTGTGGAGGTGTGAGCCGGATGAACACACCCTTTCCTCCCCAAATTGCTTTGTTCACAGGGTCTCATCACAGGAATAGAAACCCTGGCTAACACAGACACAGGGTGAGCTCTTCACACACAGAGCCATCTCCCAGCCCTGAACTTCGGATCTCTAAGCCTTGCTACTGTCTCCTTCCTTGTCCTTGTTTCTTAGTGTCCTCACAAGATTCTAAGGACTTTTGAGGCGTCTTTAAAATGTCTCACTCACCTCAACTCAGTCATCCCACTCAATTAGATTTAATGCCACCAGATAGAATTTTGTTTTCTCGTGTGTAATGGTGTTATCATTCTCTCTCCCACTGGACTATTGGATTTTCAATAAGAACCCTCTATTTCAAAAAAATTATACGTTTTTGCTGGGTGGCAGTAGTACACGCCTTTAATCCAGTACTCAGGAAGCAGAGGCAGGAGGATCTCTGTGAGTTCGGAGCCAGCCTGGACTACAGAGTAAGCAGCCAGGGCTACAGAGGAACCCTGTCTCAGAAAACAATAAATAGATAGATAGACAGACAGACAGACAGACAGACAGACAGATAGATAGATAGATCGTGTTTTCAAGTTAGCATGTAAAGCAATGGGTTTCATTGTGGGATTTTTGTATGTCTGACATCATGTTGTGTTCTGGCTCACCCCCTTCCCTAGCTGCTGACCCTTGTGTCACGTGTCCTCTCTGGTTTGCTTGCTTCCCCAATCGCTCTTCCTTCTGCTGTCATGACACATGCCTTCTTCTCACAGTCCCCTAAGTGCCCTGACCAGCAGGGCACACCCGGGTTGGAGCCCACCGGGAACCTGGAATGAATGAGACTAGGGACACGAGAGAGACTGACAGCAAGACAGACCTTCCAATCAAGCTGTGTTTAATGAGAATTCTGCACAGGCTTAAATAGGGAAATGAGGTAGGGGGCTGTTAGGAGCTAGGAGCGGAGCGTTTGATATGCAATGGGCAGGAGATCTCACCAGGGAGTGCAGGTGTTAAGGAAGCATTGTCAAGCGATGAGTTATCTCTGTGGTGCCTCAAGCGATGGGTTATCTCTATGGTGCCAGGCCATCTGTGGGAAGGCGCCTGTGGGTTTTTTTTGGGGGGGGGGAAGTGCCTTGGGGCAAGAAATAGAGATTTACAGTGACCTGGTCCTCAACACCTAAGATCCCTTCCTCCTCTGTCATGATCCCTGTGCTAGTATTCTCACAACACACACACACACACACACACACACACACACACACATTCACGTGTGCATATACACATATTCACATGCATATAGACATACACACATGCATGCACACACACTTTTTATATAAATTTTTATTTAAATTAGAAACAATCTTATTTTACATATCAATCCCAGTTCCCTCTCCCTCCCATCCTCCTACATCCACAACCGACCCCCCCCATTCCACCCCCATCCACTCCCCAGGGAGGATGAGGCCTTCCTTGGCAGATCATCAAAGTCTGTCACGTCACTGGGGGAGGGCCTAGGCCCTTCCGGTGTATCTAGGCTGAGAGAGTAGCCCTACTGGTTCTACTGCCAGAGACCTTTCCCAAATGACACCCACGTTCAGGGGGTCCCATGTGGGTTCCCCAGCTGTGAGATTGGGGTCTGTGAGCTCGCACTTGCTCAGGTCAGCTGTTTCTGTGGGCTTCTTCAGCATGGTCCCCACCCCCCTGCTCATCCCTCCCTCTTCACCACTGGACTCCGGGAGTTTGGCTCAGCGCCCAGTTGAGGGTCTCTGCATCTGCTTCCATCAGCCACTGGATGAAGGCTCTAGGATGGCATTCAAGGTAGTCATCAATCTCATTATAGGGGAAGGGCATTTAAGGCAGCCTCTCCACTACTGCCTAGATTCTTAGTTGGGGTCATCCTTGTAGATCTCTGGATTTCCCTAGTGCCAGATTTCTCTTTAAATCTATAATGGCTCCCTTAATTAAGGTATCTCTTTTCTTGCTCTCCTGTATTCTTCCCCTGACTCAATCTTCCTGATCCCTCATGTTCTCATCCCCCTCCCTCCCTCTCTGCCCCCATGCTCCCAATTTGTTCAGAGCTCTTGTCCCTTTCTCCTTCTCCAGGGGATCATGTATGTCTCTCTTAGGGTCCTCCTTGTTTCCTAGCTTCTCTGGAGGTGTGGATTGTAGGCTTGGTACTCCTTTGCTCTATGTCTAATATCCATATATGAGTGAGTACATCACTCAGGCTGGTTTCTTTTAGTTCCATCTGTTTGCCTGGGAATTTCAAATTTTCATTGTTTTTTTCCGATGAGTAGTACTCCATTGTGTAAATGTACCACATTTTCTCTATCCACTCTTCAGTTGAGGGGAATCTAGGTTGCTTCCAGGTTCTGGCTATTACAACTGCTGCTATGAACACAATGGAACAGACATCCTTGTTGTATGAATGGGCATCTTTTGGGTATATGCCTAAGAGTGGAATTGCTGGATATTGAGGTAGAGTGATTCACATTTCACTGAGGAATCTCCATACTGACTTCCAAAGTGGCTGTATGAGTTGGCACTCCCACCAGCAGTAGAGCAGTGTTCCCCTTTCTCCACATCCTCTCCAGCATAAACTGTCATCGGTGTTTTTGATTTTAGCCATTCTGACAGGAGTAAGATGGTATCTCAGAGTTGTTTTGATTTGCATTTCCCTGATGTCTAGGGATGTTGAGCAATTTCTTAAATGTCTTTCAGCCATTTTAGACTCCTCTATTGAGAATTCTCTATTTAGTTATGTATCCCACATTTTAATTGGATTATTTGGTGTTTTGGTGACTAGCTTCTTGAGTTCTTTGTGTATTTTGGAAATCAGCCCTCTGGCAGATATGGGGTTGGTGAAGATCTTTTCCCATTCTGGGGGCTGCCTTTTTGTCTTGTTGACTGTGTCCTTATGCACACACACTTAAATGTGAGTTCCACTTTTGAGATAAAACACATTTATTTTTCTGAGTTTGTTTTTTTTTTCTCTTAACATAATGATTTCCAGTTTCACCTTCTTTCCTGTAACTGTCAATAGTTCATTTTTCTTTATGGCTGAATGGAACTCCACTGTGTGCACCTACCTTCTATTTATCTGTTCTGTTCACCTGTTGATGGACATCCAGGCAGGTTCCATTTCCTAACCGTTGTGACTGGTGTAGCAATGTGGTCATGTGTCCATGGTGTGCTGACACTGTTATATACTGTTCAAGGTTTCCTGAAAAGCTCTTTGCACACAGACAGAACTAAAAAAAAGTATTGGTGATTGCAGTATCGATAATGTCTGTGTCCTTGAGAGGAGACCAGCAACCTCATGTATGACTATGTATTACAATGCTGGGTATTGAACCCAGGGTCTAGCACATGCTAGGCAATGTCTCTGTCACTGTGCTATGCATTCGGACAATTCCCTGTCTTCCTGTCTTTAGCTCCCTAAACACTAGGATTATAGACCTGCCTGTGCCAACCAGGCAGGTTCACTGTGACATTCTTGCACATGCTGTAGATGGGGTGCCAATTAGAGACTGACAAATTCTTCTGCCAGGAGGATTTCCATCACGACATGTGACTCCTCGTGAGCCTTATCCTGGGGGATTCAGTGAGTTCCCGAGTATAGGACAGCAGAATGGAGCTCTGGAAACTGAGCATGGATACAGACAGAAGTGTTCAAAGCTGTGACTTGTTCAACATTAGGGCCCAGGTGGCCTGGCCTGGCTGGAGGAGCTCACACTAAAGACCCTTGGGAGGTCTTGTGAAGAAGTCAGGCATACAGACAAGCACACACTTGCACACACGTGCACCCCAGGGTGTTGTCAGCACACTGCAAAGACAACAGGCTTTATCTATGCAACATTTCAAAAACTGTTTTCTCAAGCTTTGTGTATTAAAGGCACATCTACTACCAGGAACTTTTCAGGAGAAGGGGATAGATGTGTGAATTTGTGCCACAACTTCCCCAAAGGCCCTTCATACCAGGAAGCAGAGTAGAGTCTGGTGAACTCTGCTATAAAAAAAAAGACAGCTGCCCAACTTGGGGCACTCGGTAGACCACCACTCCCAGATTAAGTCTGGGCCAATTAAATGAGCCTCTTGGGTGGATCATCGGCAGTTTGGCAATAGAGGGCTGGTTCCTCTGCTCAACCAAGGATGGTTGGTACCCACAGATACAGGGAAAGAGAGGTCCGAGAACCTGGGTATAGCTGACCACTAGAGGGAGCTGTGGAGCAGGAAATCTCACGGTTGGGAGAGAGCCACACATTGTCTTCCCTTTTACAGATGGAGACCAAGGCAATTGGCCAATACTGTTTAAAGGGGACCCAGAGTGCACCATCCTGCGTTGCACTCTGGGCATTCCTTGACTTCCGCTTCTAGGAAAGACCAGGGAAGTTCCTTTCTGTGGCAGTCTAAGGAACACTCGGCTTAATAACTATTCCAAATTGGACGACTGTCCTGGCTGGTTCTCCAGCCACTGAGATAGATCCGTTTTCTTCTGAACTGAGGAAGGGTATCCTGGCAATGAGGGGATTAAGTGAAGGCAGGAAAGGAGAAAAAAAGACAGCCATTTCTTTGTTTCTTTAAGCCGTGTGTGTGTGTGTGTGTGTGTGTGTGTGTGTGTGTGTGTGTGTTGTATTAATTCACAAGTAAAATTTGTGTACAAGGCATAGTGGAGTGACTAAAGCAAGCTAATTAATGAGTGAATTACCTCACATATTTATTTGTTTGTTTGAGAACTTTGAAATTCTATCAGCAATTTTCAAGGGTAAGATAAATTTTCTTTGGACTTGTTCCTGGGCTGGCAGGAAAGAAGAGACTCCAAAGAGACACTACTACCTCTCTGTCAGACTCGATGAACTTCAAATAAATGGAATTTCCCTGGGAATTTCATGCTGAGGAAGAAAAGGGGGCAGCCAGAGGGGATTTGTAAGCTGCAGACAATGATGGGTCCATGGGGAGGGGGCAGTACACACCTTGACCTGGACTGCTTGTCTGTGTCCATCCCTGCCTTCTATGTAAGCTTGTCTGTGTATCCCTGGCTTCTATGTAAGCTTGTCTGTGTATATGCCTGCCTTCTATGTAGTCTTGTCTGTGTATACGCCTGCCTTATATGTAAGCTTGCCTGTGTATACCCCTGCCTTCTATGTAAGCTTGTCTGTGTATACGCCTGCCTTCTATGTAAGCTTGCCTGTGTACACCCCTGCCTTCTATGTAAGCTTGTCTGTGTATACGCCTGCCTTCTATGTAAGCTTGTCTGTGTATCCCTGCCTTCTATGTAAGCTTGTCTGTGTATATGCCTGCCTTCTATGTAAGCTTGTCTGTGTATATGCCTGCCTTCTATGTAAGCTTGTCTGTGTATCCCTGCCTTCTATGTAGGCTTGTCTGTGTATATGCCTGCCTTCTATGTAAGCTTGTCTGTGTATCCCTGCCTTCTATGTAAGCTTGCCTGTGTATATGCCTGCCTTCTATGTAAGCTTGAACCTCACCTCAGGACATCCAAGATGGCCTGGGGTGAAGGGGACATTGCTGACTCTTTTGTTCCCCTTCCCGATGTGGCCTCATTAACTGAATCTCCTCTTCTGCTTCTCATTGTTAATGTGGCTGCCGTATTTGGCTCTATTGAGGAGGGGTAGCCGAACTGGCCTTTTGGGGCACAGGTTGTGACCCCTAGTTTGGTAGCATCCTATGTCACACCCACGGTCCTCTTGATTCAGTAGCCTAACTGAAATTTTGTACGTTTGCCCTGCAGTTCCCTAATCTTCCCCCACCCCAACCCCTGGCAGGCCCGTCCTACTCCACGGTATGACTCCACAGCTAGTGAGCGCCTGTGCCATTTGGGACAGCAGCATGGCCAGTCTGCCCACAGCAGGGTGCCCCCTGGGACAACACCGGCCTCAGTGTTTGCCCATGGAGGGACCTCTGGGAGAACGAATCATTTACTGAGAAGTTACTTGCCAAGACCACGGGGATGCTTTACCTAGGAACTGAAAGCATGTCACTGGCATGCGGACGAACTCTAGCAGCCAAGAAAAGGATTCCCTCCTCTCAGGTCTTTGGACTGCAAATCATGGCGGGGGGGGGCACACACAGATGACTCATGGATCTTAGCAGCTTAGACGACCAAGGGAAACTTTCTTTTAATACATTAACTTGCTAAAATGCTTACACTTCTTTATTTGGGGGGTGGGCAGTGGGCATGGGGGGTGGTGGGCAGTGGACATGGATATCCCATAGTGCACAGTAGAGGGAGGTCAGAGGACAGCCTGCAGGGGTCAGTTTTCTTCTTTAAACATGTGGGAGCTGGGAATTGAACTCAGGCTTGGTGGTAAGTGCCCTTACCTACGGAGCCATTTTGCCAAGCCACAGCTTTCTCCCCCTCAACTCTACCTCCATCAAAATCAGCAAAAACCTTTGCCGTTTACTACGTGGGCAGCTGTTGGCCTTTCTCCAGGTCAAGAAGCATGGACTGCTCCTCGTGTAACGGGGCTCTGGGTCTGTGGCACAAACAATTGTTTCACTGGGAAAATACAGAACCCGTCAATTCTTTAATCTTTTTCTTCACGCTCCAGACTTTCCATTATTTCCTCTTGCCTTCCTCTTCCTCTTCTCATATATCACAGAACCCTTCATTTTAAAGTGTGCAGTCCAGTAGTCACATGTATGTAAAATGTATAGTCATGCAATGCTAACTGCTATCTAATTCCAGATCTTTTTCATCACTCACCCAAAGAGATCCTGTATCCACAAGCACTCATTCCTTTTCCTCATAGCCCCTGGGAAGCACTAATCTTTCTCCCCCTCCCTTCCTCCCTCCTCCTCTCCCTTCCTTCCCTCCTTCCTTCCTTCCTTCCTTCCTTCCTTCCTTCCTTCCTCCCTTCCTTCCTCCCTCCCTCCCTTCCTCTTTGAGAATAATCTACTTTCTATCTCTATGTATTCCTTCTTTTTAATTGTATTTATTTACTGTGTATATATTGTTCCTGCCCACACACCAGACAAGGGCACCAAATCTCATTGTAGATGGTTGTGAGCCATCATGTGGGTGCTGGTACTTGAACTCAGGACCTCAGGAAGAGCAGCCAGTGCCCTTAACCTCTGTGCCATCTATTGGTAACGTGACATTTTGTGACTTGGAAGCTGTAGCCTGTTGGTACTCTATCCCTTGCTGTGTGCATAGCATTCCACGGTGTGGATGTGCCACATTTAATCAGTGCACCAGCCCAAAGTGTGAACTCTCCCCTTACGAGTGTTGTGTAACATTTGTACAACTTTTTATGTAGACATACATTTTTGTTTCCCAGGGGCACTGTGTCAACTTCCTCGTGGCCGTGACCAAGACAGGGGAGAAAAAACTAAAAGGTGAGGGTCATTTATTTTGGCTCATGCTTTCAGAGGCTTTAGACCACAGCTCTGTTGTTGTGGGCTTGTGGTGAGGCAGAGCAGCAAGGGGAGACAGGGTAAAGAAGCTCCCTTTGTGTTGGACAGGAAGGGACCTGGGATCCAAGGATCACCTTCAAGGGCACTTCCCCCAACCACACCCCTTGTCATAAAGTTTCTACCAGCTCCCAACACAGTGTCACCAACTGGGGACCAAGAAGTCATCAACACATGAACTTGTGGGGGGAACAGTCTCTATTCCAACTATATACATAATGCTAGGTGAAATTATACTCGAGTGAAATTGCTAGCTGTGTGGTAATTCTATGCTTCATCTTTCCAGAAACTGCCACACTGTTTTCCGATGCCGCTGTACTGGTTTACACTGGCAGCAGCACATGATATCTCCAGTCCCTCATATCCTCACCAATACATTTTTTTGTGGGGAGCGCAGTGGTGCTAAAGACTGAACCCCGGGCTTGGGCATCTAGGCAGGCACTCTGCCACTGGGCTCTTATGAGCTGTTGCACTGACTAGTTTTTATGTCTACTTGACACAGGCTAGAGTCATTTTTAAAGAGGGACCTCGATTGAGAAAACGGCCCCACCAGTTAGGCCTGTGGGTTACTTTCTTGACCGATGATCAACGAGGGAGGGCCCAGCCCACCGTGAGTGGTACCACCCCTGGGCTGTGGGTAAGGAAGCATGCTGAGCAAGCCATGAGGAGCAAGCCAGTAACCAGTGTTTCTCTACAGCCTCTGCTCTTGCTTGCAGAGTCCTTCCTTGGCTTCCCTCAGTGATGAGCTGTGATGTGGAAACCCTTTCCTGCCCAAGTTGCTTTTGGCCCTAGTGTTTTATCACAGCCATAGAAACCCTAACAAGATAGCGTCCTTTGCTTAGAGACACTTAGAGGGTGTGTCGCCAACTTTCATGTCCCCTGTGATTGATGTGGGACGTCGTCATTGTCTGTGTATGTTGTTTTGTGAGAGACTGGCAGTGGCAGTGCACTATGGAGGCAGACACAGGCGCATCACTGGGTTCGAGGCCAGCCTGATCTACAGAGTGAGTTCCAGGACAGTCAGAGTTGTACGAAGAAATCCTGACCTCAAAAGCAAACAATAAAAAAATAAAAACAACAAAAAAGTGTTTTGTGAGCATCACCTTTTCAAAAATAGTGTTCATTTTAAAATTGAAAAATATGGCCAGGCGTTGGTGGCACACGCCTTTAATCGCAGCACTCGGGAGGCAGAGGCAGGCGGATCTCTGTGAGTTCGAGACCAGCCTGGTCTACAAAGTGAGTTCCAGGACAGCCTCCAAAGCCACAGAGAAACCCTGTCTCGAAAAACCAAAAAAAAAAAAAAAATTGAAAAATATGACTTTATTTTGTGCATGTGTTTTGCCTACACATTTGTATGTGTACTTGGTACCCACAGGGGCCGGAAGGTATTGGATCCCCTAGAACTGGAATTGCGATAGTTCTGAGATACATGCAGGTGCTGGGAAGGGAACCTTGGTTCTCTGTAAGATCAGCTAGTGCTCTTATCCATCAAGTCATCTCTTTAGCCCCATGCTGTCCATTTTTACACAGAGCTTTAGTTTTGTTTTGGTTTGGTTTTGGTTTTGCTTTGTTGTTGTTGAACGACGAGTTGAGTTCTTTTTGTTTTGCTTCGTTTTTCAAGACAGGGTTCCCCTGTGCAGCCCTGGCTATCCAGGAACTCGCTCTATAGACCAGGCTGGCCTTGACCTCAAAAAGATCCACCTTACCTCTGCCTTCATTAAAGGCATGAGCCACCACTCCCTGACAAATGGTGAGTTCTTTTTCTTTATACAATCTATATATTAGATTATTTTCAGATATACAGTGTTAAAATATTTTTCCTATTCTGTGGTTTGTCTTTTCTGTTGTTCTTTTTATATAGCACCACTTTTTAAGAAATACAGTATGATATGGAGGCATGCATCTCACCGTACCCATGTGAGGTCAGAAGACAATTTATGAGAGTTGGCTTGCTGCTTCCCAATGGAACTCCAGTCATCAAATTTGGAGACAAATGCCTGTACCCGCTGAGCCATCTGGCCACCCCATAGATTTGTAATGTATTTTTAAAATCAGAAAACGGGGCCTGGAGAGATGGCTCAGAGGTTAACAGCATTGGCTGTTTTTCCCAAGGATCTGAGTTCAATTCCCAGCAACCACATGGTGGCTAGCGACCGTCTGTAATGAGATCTGGCGCCCTCTTCTGGCTATCGGGCATACGGATAGATGCTGTATACTAAATAAATCTAAAAACTGTTTTTTAAAAAAATCAGAAAATGTGTATCCTCCCACTTTATTCCTCTTTTCCAAAATTGTTTCAGTTATTTCAGTTTCTTTGCAAGGGCATGCGAATTTTTAGGTCTGTTTGTCAAGTTTTATAAAGCAGGAGGCTGGAGTCCTGGTAGGTGTAAGGTCTGACTGTGCCCACAAAGCAGTCATGTGCTGGAAGCTTTTCTCCAATTTGGTGTTCAGTGGGGACTTCTAAGAGCCCCCACGGGGCTTTACCGTAATGGTCTTGTGAAGCAGACTGGGCTTCAGTCCTCTTAAGCTCAGGCTGAGGTAAGTGAGGCCACTCTGCAGGTTTGGTCTCTTCCATTCTCCTTCTTTCCCATCTTGTGATGCAACCAGGGTTGACTTACCGGGTCTTTAGACCTTTCAACACCATAGTTATAAGAAAAATAAACATCTTGACTTATAAAGTGCCTAGACACAGGTATTTTGTCATAGCTAAGGAATGCTGTACTGAACTTGAACATTCGTTTGAGTAGCATTGGCATCTTCACAATGCAAGCCTTTGGGTTGGGGTACAGCTCTGTTGGTAGAGAAGTACTTATTCAGCATGCTGACATAAAGCTGGTCATGGCGGCATGCTCCTGTAATTCCAATGGTCCAGAGATGGAGACAGGAGGATTAGAAATTCAAGGTCATCCATCCTCAGCTATGCAAGGAGTTCAAGGCTCTCCTGGCCATATATGAGCAAGTTCCAAAACAAAAAACAAAACAAAACAGCAGCAACAACAAGCCCCTTACCACCACCACCATCATCACCACAGCAAAAACAAACTCCCTAGAGAAGTCTTCCAATCTACAAACAGAGGGCATCTTTCCATATACTTGGTTTTTTTTTTTTACAGCATATTGAAAAAAGTGTTTGTTTATGTAAATTCCAGGCATTGCATTCAGGTCATTAAGCTCGGCAGCAGACACACTTGCTCACTGATCTACGTCCTGGCCCCTAAATCATTTTACATTTTTTTGGTTAGAAGTAATTTCTGGATTGAGGCTAAGTGGGAGACAAAGATCCACATGCCATTCTGGGACTCTTGGACCCAGGCTGAAGGAGACAACACAACACAGTCCCATCCAGAGCAAATGTAGGGTGGGACACGAGAGAGAGAGAGAGAGAGAGAGAGAGAGAGAGAGAGAGAGAGAGAGAGAGAGGGAGAGAGAGAGAGGGAGAGGGAGAGGGAGAGGGAGAGGGAGAGGGAGAGGGAGAGGGAGAGGGAGAGGGAGAGGGAGAGGGAGAGGGAGAGGGAGAGGGAGAGGGAGAGGGAGAGGGAGAGGGAGAGACTGACTGACTGACTGACTGACTGACTGACTGACTGACTGACTGACTGGTTCATCTCCCGCGGAGAGACGCAGATCTGGAGAGGTGGAGATGGTGAGGAGAAAACTGAGGTGGGTGGCCTGCTTGCCACCCAGGGCCATGGTGATGTCCGGCCCTGGGCTGCTGCCAAGGGCCATGTCTGCAGCTGTGGCCCCGCTGCAACCGCGTTCATGTCCGTGGCTCCTGTTACCACTGAAACTGAGAGAGTACGGCTGCACAGAGCTGGCCCTGCACCTTACTGGCTGCAACACTATGGAGAGCGAGTCCTGCACTCCGCCTGGGCAGCACGACAGAGCTTACCCTGTGGGCAGGCAAGAAAACTCGTCCCCCTCCCCTTGACTGCTGTGTGGTAGTAAGGGTGAGGGAAAGAAGTTCTCCCTCCGCCTCACCCGTAGCCAGCAGCTGCAGGTGAGAGAACTGACTCCGCCCCTTACCAGGGGCACCGCTAGGGAGGGCAGGCCCTGCACCTTGCCTGGGCAGCAAGGTAGAGCTGACCTGTGAATAGGGGTGTGGGTGAGCCAACCCTGAGAATGTAAGGGTGAACGATCTGACCCTGCACCTCGTGTGGCATACTGGTGTGAGTGAGGGGGGAGACCCCCCCAACCCCACCCCCCCACTGCCTTTGGTAGTTGGGAGAGCCAGCAGCAGCACTCAGTAGACTGTCCCTGCCCTACCACCTTGGCCCTGGTGGTACAGGTGAATTGGCCCTGAGGGTGTGGGAGCAGGAGACCCGATCTTTCCCCTTGCTGCTTACTGTATAGGGTGAGCCAGCCTGGGAGGTACTAGGGAGCTCACCCTAGTGTTGCAGATGAGGGAGAGCTGACCAACTCAGTGATCACCAAGGCTCAGAACCAGGGCCATGAGTTGGCCTATCCAACATCCACCCCATCTGTGATGTGCTAGGGCCTGTGAAGGAGCCTGTCCTGCAGACCCAAAGCTGCTGAATCTGACACTGGACAACAGATGTCCAAGAGGAGCTGGGCAGTGGTGGCACAGGCCTTTAATCCCAGCACTTCAGAGACAGTGGCAGGCAGGAGGATCTGTGTGAGTTTGAGACCAGCCTGGTCTACAGAGCTAGTTCTAGGACAGCCTCTAAAGCCACAGAGAAACCCTGTCTTGAAAAACAAACAAACAAACAACAACAAAACCAAAACCAAAAAACAGATGTCCCAGAGGAGTCCCAGTGAGGGCCCGGTGTTTATAGTGTAACAGAAACCAGAGACCTCAAACCAGACAATGACTCATTGCAATGAACACTTGCAAAGATGTATGGACCAAAGGGCACACTGTGTGACTCATTGTGTTACACCACAACTTCCATGACAAGATTTTTCTTTTCTCTTAAATTTTATTGTGTTTTATTTGGTGGGGGAGGTCGCAAGGGCAGAGTGCGGATGCAAAAGGACAGGGAGATGAGTGGGATCAAGATGCATAATAGGAAATCCTCAAAGCATCGATAAAGTTTTTTAAAAAAGTAATTTCTGAGCGGGGCGTTGGTGGTGCACACCTTTAATCCCAGCACTCAGAAGGCAGAGGCAAGTGGATCTCTGTGAGTTTAAAACCAGCCTGGTCTGCCAAGCAAGTTCCAGGACAGCCTCCAAAGCAATACAGAGAAACCCTGTCTCGAAAAATCAAAAAAAAAAAAAAAAAAAAAAAAAGAAAGAAAGAAAAGTAATTTCTGCTGAGTGTGGTGGCATATACCTTAGTTCCAGCACTTGGGCAGTAGAGGCAGGTCAATCTCTGTGAGTCCAAAGCCAACCTGTTGTACTGTGAAGAACTGACCAGGGCGTCAGAGATGGGCAAACAAGACTAGTGGGAAACAAGGAGATAACACTATTTACTTAGGGAGAGATAATTAACTCATGCCAAGGTTTAAGGAATTTACAACATTGTAGGTCAGGAAGACATCTACTTCCCTGGGTCGGGAGTTACGTACCCCCTCCCCCCGTCACGAGATAGGGACCCCTCCCAAAAGCTTGTGGTTTTTGTCTTTAAAAGCTGATTGTAACTGAACCTCGGGGCCAATCGGTCTAAAAGCTGACCGAGAGGCCCATCTGCAGATGCCTAATTAAAGCCTCTTGCGTGTTGCATCAATTGGCGCGTGGACTCTTGATTCTTGGGGTGACAAATCCAGCTTGGGGACCCCTCCTCAATTCGGGGTACCCCAACAGTACAAAGTGGATTCCAGGACAGCCAGGGCTATAAAGTGAGACTTTTGTCTAAAACAATGGGGGTGGGGTGGAGTGTCAGGTCCAGCTGACCTGTCCTGTCCATACCTGAGAGGGGGACTGAGGAAAGAAGCAGACTAGAGACAGAAGATGGGGTCGGGAGGGCACCCAGTGAATACTAGGATCAGCCCTAAGTTTATTGCTCAGAGTTCTTACATACCCCAAACAAAAGTGGGGGGGAGGCAAAAGACTTCTTCACTATGATATGAGGAACACACAGACGTGATTACTTCCTTAATTCTCAAAACATTTAGTAACCACACCTCAGATCAAACCTCTTGCTAGCTGACCTTAGATCAAGTATTCTGTTATCTGGGTAAGACATCCACATCTTAGACCAAACATCGTTCAGTAGCCTGGTGACCTGAGCTGGATCCCCAGGACGCACAGGTCAAGGAGACAATTGACTCCCAAAGGTTGCCCTTTAGCCTCTCCACACGTTCTGTGGTGTACACACATGCAACACGCACTACAACAAGTGAAAAAAAATAGAAAAGGCAAAATAAATGTGATGGATCCATAAAGAATTAAATATAATGACTTACTTTACATTTGCTCACCGGCAGGGTGACTGAATGGATCCGTTGGGGGCTGGGGATGTAGCTCAGTGGTAGAGCGCTTGCCTAGAGCTGGGGGTCTTGGGTTCAATACTCAGCACCAGAGAAAAGCCACTGGCAGCGGGCTCTCATTTGTTCCACATCATCTGTTTCTCAAATTCAGCTTGTTTCAGAGCAGCGGCTCCTTTTGGGTAAGGGAGACTGGCTAAGAAGGGACACGAAGAAGCTTTCTGGAGTGGAGTAGTTCTATTTGCCTTGATCGTAGTGGATGCTTAGTAGGTGTGCTTGTGAAAAATTGTCAGTACTCTTAATTCCTATTTTTTCATGTGTATGTTACACCTTAAATATATATGTAGTTTCCAGAATAGCTTGCTTTGTATGTGAAATTTAACTTTTTTTTTCCCCTGACAGGATTTTTCTGTGTAGCTTTGTAGACCAGGGTGTCCTCAAACTCACAAAGATCCACCTGCCTCTGCCTCCTGAATGCTTGGGACTAAGGGTGTGTACCACCACTGCCCACTGGGATACAACTTCCTTATGTGACCTTTTGCTTTTCCTAGATTTTTTGATTGCCATCAGTTTTTAAATCAACCATCATCGTCTTTCACAGACATTATCTACTGACTAAAATCTGCTTTCTCTTTTTCATAACTCAGACTATTTTTTATTACTATTCCTATTATTCTGATCACACTGATCTTGTTTTCTACAAATACAATGTACCTCTTTTACTTCTATGACCTTGTATATCCTTTTCTGTTTGCAAGAAACCCTTTCTTCCTACTTAGTGGCTTGCTGTGGGGTAGTCTGTAGAATCTTTTTTTTTTTTAGTTTAAGTTAGAAACAAGTTTGTTTCACATGTCAATCCAGCCACCTC